TACAAAACTTAAGGTCTTACAAAATCTTTGGCTTGAAAATCAAGAGTATTTCAAAACCCTAATCTATTTATTCTATTATAAAATTTAGAGCAATTTACAAATACTGAAAGTTACTGAAAGGTCAAGAGGTGCCAGATTTTTAAAGATCAAAGTAAACACCATTTTTCTCCCTTATAATTAAAGTTCTCGAAAGATTTTCTATGTTCAATTCCATGAATGTTCATAGTTAAAGTTACTTATGAAGAAATCTTTTCTTCAATTATATAATGAACTATTGTAGTACAGAACTGGAATGGTACAAGCAAAATACTCAACTTCATAATTTGATAAATAATAAGTGAAAAAGATATTACACATGAGTATGACACAACATTCTAGGTAGGGTCCTACCTACCTACCTATATTTAAAAAAAAAAGCTTATGGGAGGAAAGGGGAACCTACTTATCAATTTATTGACTGACAGGACAACGCAAACAAGGATGGCTGGATCAGAGTGTAAGTGACCAATTCCTTCTGGTAGCCTCAGATAGTGCTCCACACCTGACTCCCAACCTTGACGTACTGTGCCATCTCTATAAAAATAAGTACAATTCAAAAGTTGTATATGAAAAGGAAAAGAGGAGGGAGGGAAGCAAGAAAGCGAGACTTGCTAACTTGAAGGAAAAAAAAAAAAAAAAAGTTGGTGGCCTGTAACTGAAAGGGAATAGTGCAAAGTTAATCTTTGGCCCCTTTAAAACATTGGATACTGATTAAAAAAAAATAACAAATATCAAAGAAGGCTTATTATAGTAATAAGAAGCTGCCTAGCTCATTAAAGAAACTGTCTGGCCCAGGCCTAAGTAGTAGATATTTTGCAATTCAATTTCAAAAAGTTAAAAAAAAATTAACAAACTACCTCCCCCCAATCAGAAATGAGATTCTTCCCTTCAGAAAAATCTCCCTGTAAATGATATAGCCAGGCCTGAATTTCTGGGGCCAAGGTTGCCTTAGATTTCTTTGCTCCCTGTTTTCTGCAGCTGTAAATGCCTCTGCCACCCCCTGCTCCAAGGGCTGCCCCGAGACAGGCACGAACACAATCTAAACCCTCCGTTCCAGCACTGGTTCTGCAGTCTCGTATCGTCTTCCCATCACAGTGCACTGCTCAATTGTTCACTTTAATACTCTAAGCAATAAAGACCACTTTTGTTATAGAAATGACTTTTATAACTTTAAACAATACAGATTAAAAAGTATAAGATAAAAGGAAGCATACACTAAAAATCAGATTTATGAAGAAGAGTTTTTCTTATTGGTTGGAAAATTTTAGTGATGATTTAATACTGCTTATGCAATTCTGCACTGCGCATAGGAACTCAGAATACTGTGCAACACCAAGTAATTTATACACATGCCAGTTTCTAATTTACTTACAGTAACTATCAGTTTAAACGACCGTTTTGCAAGCTCCTCAGACTTGAACTCCATCATGTTTATGACCTTTGATTTCATGTGTGTAACATCAGCTTTCTTTTTTCTTTTACCCTAAATAACCAAGAACTGGCTGTATGCCTTTTTATAGGGGAAAAAACAGCTTTTCTACTCAGATGCTTTTTACTATTAGCTTTCACAAAATTTAATAATGCCCACATTATTAAAATGAAAAACTGGAATGAATTTAGACATAACTACACTTTTAAACAAAATATGTAACCTGGCAAAGCTGATGATTTTGTTTAAAAAAACTCTAGGTGTTTCTGAGACACATCAGGCAAGTGAAGGGATCCGGAATATGCGGAAGACAATTTTCTCTCCCTGGAGATCCGCTTTTGCTCCTCAGTAGATGACCAGATTTTGAGTCAACTGTTTTAAAATTCTGGCATTTTGTTCTCTTGATAAGGAAAAAAACCCCACACTCTTGTCAAGTTCATGTGTTTTAAAAAATGATAAAGTCTCCAGGTCAGGGAATAAAGAAAGCTTTTAAGTGCTTTATACCTAAAAGGGAGCAATAGCAATTTTGATATCAGTAACGTCCCTTTCGATTTAAAAAAGATTGGTCCTCAAAATGTTCAAATTATTCTACATAAATGACTTCTGAAACTTTTTAAACAATTGTATTTTCTTTTTGCCCAAGACTCATCATAAATTATTCAAATTAAACTAAATTAAAATTGATTTCAGCAGAAAGTAGAAATGTTTCAAAACATAAAATATCATCTACTATTGATTTTAATGTGAAACTGATAACAACTTACACTAAAAAAAAATATATATGTCATTAAAAAATTTTTTCCAGTCTTTTCCCTTCTACCCAGGAAAATTTTATAACTGATGTCACCAAAATGAGCCCTTGGTGATCTTTTGAAGTCTTCCAAAGAGTATACCTTGGTGGACTTACTGGTGGTCTCCTTCGACTCGTCTCTTACGCACTACGAGAAAAATGAAACTATGTTAGAAACCCCTATTAATTTTAACAGTGCTAATTTGCTTGTAACAAACAAGTTTCCGTATAATCCAGTTATAGTATGACCAAAATATAAATGTCCATTTTTTACATGATAATTAATAATTTAAAAAAGCCCTCATTTATCTGTTGAGAAGTGAGGGGCTTCAGAACAAAAAGTATGTATCCTAAGCTCACTGACTGATACCTGTGCCTACACAAGAGCAGCTCTACAAATCTAAAACACAGAATCATCTTCATTTGTTTATTGAAAAAATGTATTACCATACCTAGGTTAAAAAAAAGACTAATAAATTACTATGTTAAATTTTGATATGACATTCAGGCAACCGGGGTTAGAACATATTAAAAGTAACTATCTGCATGCTTTCCTGATCAGACACTGCAAGGTATTTCCTTAGTCTGTAAAAGAACATAACAAAAACATTTTTGTCATTTTCAAAGATAAGTGACTTGCTACTGCTTTCCAAAGTTTCCTTCTCTCATCTTCTATGAAATGAACCAGTTCAGGGCTCTGACAAAACAACAAATGCAAAGTAATGAAAATCTCAGACCCTGGTAATGTGGTGGGGCCACTTCTGGCCATGATAAACTTTGCCTGCCAAAGTAGCCAGCCAGCTAGCTCAGCTGATGGAGTGAAGGTACATATATCCGGGGATTCTCAGCTTCTTCATGGGCTGGTGATGCCGAACCACTCAGCTGTGCTCACTAGCAGCAGGGCAAGGCCTTCAACTTCAGATCTTGCTACCTGCACTCTCAGCTACCAGCCACCAGAGAGCATTCTCTGAGAGCCACCAACTTGGGGCTCCTCAGCCTTGTGGCCAACTCCTATTTAGAGAGGACAAAAAGCACAGGTTCTGGAGTCAGTGACAAATAGAGTGTGAATCGTGGCTCTGTCACTCTTTTGTATTGTGTTCTTTGGCAAGTCAGTTAACTCTCTGAGCCAGCTTGTCCTCTGTAACAGGAGAATGATGACATCTGTATCTCCTGGCTGCCTGGTGCGCTATTGAGAACACAGTAAGCATTCAGTAAAGAGTAATCAGCTTCATTATCCATCACAGCAGGATTATGAGATGGTCCTGAAGCCCTGGTCAGCCATCTTTTTGGGGTGAAGAAAGCCAGTTTGGCTATTATTTTTAGAGGACTTGCATTTACGCATTACTGCTTTTGATACTTTCCCCAGTAAGTTCCTCTGTTTCAGTTAGATTGCTGGTCTATTAATTTCCTACCGCCTCTGTCTATCGAAGCAAGCAGGAAGGCAACTGCCTCTTTTTTCAACCAAATTGGCTGTTTGATAAGGAGCTATAAGCCAGTAAGTGCACTTGGCTGGGCCACAGACTGTGCTTTTCTGACTGCCAGCTTCTGTTTGTAGGCCTTTAATAGATGAGACCAGACATTCAAGGTATGTGTATAAAAGCTTGTCCAGCCATTGGCTAGGTGCTAGTTAGGAAACAAACCAACCAACCCACCCCCAGAAGGACTAAAGTATCAGGTTCTCATGAGCATTTTTATGCTTATCTATATCACGTTTACCCCTGACTCTCAATTTTAGTCCAGGCTAACAAAGAACAAGTTTCATGTGTTTACTGGAATATTAAGAAAAAAATTGAAAGGGAGACTTGCGTCCTCAAATACAAACTAAACTCATATATATAGATCTCTGAAATATAAAAATATCTGAAAGGCAAACTTCAGATAATTCTTTAGAATAGAACACTTTAAAGAAAAATTTGAATTGCAGCAAGGTTTGGATGTTATTATTGGCAGACCATTTCAGATGTTCAAATGTATGGTATAAAAAATATATGCTATAAATAAAATCTATAGGACAGAGTGCAGCAAACAAAAAGATGTAGAAAATGGATTATGCAATTAGCTAGTGTAAAGATAATGAGAGATTCAAAGTTAAACTGAATATCGCATATATACCATATAACCTCTTTGTTGGTACAGCTATGACATTTCTTAGCTGAAGAGATAGAAAGTAGGTAGAATTATTTCAATGAATAGCTGAGACAAAGAAAACGATGAGAGAGGAAAAGATGCTATCAAAAGCAGAACAACAAATAGAGCCCAATTTGCAAGATGAAATTGCAAAATTACATGCCCAAGAGATTCTGTACAAGTTTCAAGACTTGTTCTTTGATATCTCTTTCCAGTGACTACATATCAGGCTGCTGAGACCTGTATGTCAGAAAACATGGTCTTCAGGCTTTCCACCTTGATCTACAGGCAGAGGTCAGAGTGTATGGCTGAAAAATAAATCAAGCTGAGTGCACGAATGGGAGGCTGCCGCCGCTGTGTGCACAGCAGAGGACAATGGGGCAAAAAGCCATTTCTGACTCCTCTTTCTCACCTGGTGCCCACTTGTTACCTTCCAGCAATTCGTCGGTTCATCCTCTAGGGGACAGACTTATAAATTTTGCCCTATTAACAATTCTTTGGATCTGGTCCACTTTCTTTCCAAAACCCACTCTATTGATGTAAGTTCTATATCATCATTAGTCACCTGTGAACGTCCTAACTCACCTCATTTTCTATCTCTGAAAGAGTAATAAAAATAGTTCTTTTTGAAGTATCATCTTAATCACGCATTTGGTGACCCATATTGGCTCTCAAGTGCCTCCCACATAAAATCCAAAGAAATCTAAGCTTTTTATCAAGTAATTTTAGTGTCTTCTACCAACTCCCTCTCTTAATCTGCTGACACCAGTGTCTTATCGTTAGCTTCAAACAAGTACTTATCCAAACTTTATTCCGGAGCCAGCATTATGCTATGAGTCAGTTCTAAAATCTGCAGGCTGTCATCAGCATATACAGAACTAGCTTGCTCTCAAATGTGGGCTTTTATCCACACAATTCCTCTCTCTAGGAATATCCTTATTGTCATTTCATGCCTGAGATCCATGTCTGAAAATCTAGTTTGGATCAGAACGAAAGATCGTGAGTAGAAGTCAGGGGAGCTCCCAGGACAAAGCTGTTTGCTTTCTCTCTATTCTGCTTTGTCAGACCACGACTTCTTCAACACGGCCTCCTCTCCAACACATTGCCACGGACAGCCACTCTGTTGCTCAGGTCAATGTAAAGCAGCCTAGGAAATACTCTTCATCTGCGCCCTTCATCTTCCATTTGCGAAATCTCCCTTACTCTAATACTGGACATTTCTTTTCTTACAGAAATTTAGGCAAAGTGCCTACCACAATAGGCTTTGCAGAAGAGTGCACAACTGCTAAGGCCTTGCAAAGGTTAGTGTCCCTGC